GCCAAGATTGCACCATTGCATTCAAGGCTGGACGACAGGAGTGAAACACTGTCTCAAAAGATATATATACATATACATACATACACACACACACACACACACACACACACATACACCTATCCCTGATGCATAACTGAAGTCTAATGAAAGATTAATGGAAATCTAATCTATGGGTAAGATTTCTTATCAGATCCAAGGAAGCCCATGAGTTAAAGTCCACTTTGTTTTCTATACCATGTGCCAGTTGTAAAAATATCTTAGCATGGTTTATATAATGGATTTCCAAATATGTGACCCTCAGAGTTACATCCTAGTGTTTGCAAAAATGAGAAAGTCACCCTAACACTAACAGAATGCCCTTCCTTAGCACAGAACAGCTACAGCCAATTCATGCCCACTTAGTAGAGTTCATGGTACCCACTCTCAAAGAAGAAATTATTACCACAAAATCTGAACAAAAAAATATTCAGATCCCACTGCCCTGCATATGGGAATACACATCATTCAACTGGGCAGGTGTAATGGAACCTTCAAAGCATTCCTCAACTTCTGACATTCTCTGTGGTTCCAAGGACGCCTGACCTTACCTGCCCTTCTTCCTCAATGTCCATCTTCCACTCCACACAGCTTCTCTCAGCCTAGGCCAGGTCCTGGGGATAGGAAATTCTCTACAAACAACACAAATATCTTGTTAATAAATGCAGTCTGTCTTAATACTACACAATATGCATTGTTTCCATCCCCAAATGAACTTGTGATTAAATGTCCATGCAACACAGAAATGTCTGAAGAGAGAGGTAGAGGGGTCGCAGAGGATGCATGGGTGAAGGAGGTCCCTCCCTCGGGTTATGATACCCAGCATGCAGTCTGGTTGGCCCCTCCCTTTCAGGAAGTTCAACGAGGATGCACACCCAGGCTCATGCACACAGAATACATACATAGAGTTGGGATGGAATGCACATAGATAAGGATGCTCAGAGACATGATGGAATGGAAGGATTGTGTGGCGAAAGTTTTTACCTTGGGCTTCTGTTTTCTGAGAGTATTTATAGAATGTTGGAAGCCAGAAGTGACTTGAGAGCTGAGTTTTACCAAGCCTTCCAAGCGAACTCTTAGAAGAGAAGACAGGGTGGACAGAGTTGCAAAGCTGTGCTGAGGTCTCGTCTGGCCTGCTGTCCTTCAAGGTGAAGATGAAACCCACTGTGCAGAGGGCTGGCAAGCAGACCACCACCACGCATGCCAGGTTATGATTCTCACCAACATCTTCAGGCATCTCCAGGCTCCTGCTCCCTTCTTCATCTCACCAGGGCTTGTTTGCCCTTTTGTTCAGACTCAAAGCTCTACTGAATGCTTAACACTTTCATACCAAGATCACATGGTTACTCAGCCAACTTCTAAGCAAAGTCGCTCCCATGAAACATCCAACAGAAAAATATGTAATTTCATAGCATTCAGTCCACTCATGTACTGATGGCTGATCCGCATGTTCCTTCATTTATACCTATGCCTCATTGTTTTTTTAAGATAAGCAGGCAACACTCTGAACTGCAATACACACACACTGACATCAGTGATAAATGTCTCCTCAGAACCCAGCCAGCACACTGAAAAAGAACCAAAAGGAAATACCTTTCCAAAAGAAAGACATTTTCCTTTCACAAGTTTAATTTGGCTTTCAAACTAAGAAGACTTTATGCATATTCCTGGGGAGTTTTCAAAACACCTCAATTCTGAAGTAGAGTCCTCACATTTTTGTATACAAAGTAAAATATTGGGAGTGAAGTTCAGCTGCAGGGACAAAATTTTAAATTAAACAGATAAATAGGGACTAACTATCTGCTTATAAAATATTTTTTAATAAAAGTTGTGACTGGAGTGCCTTTGGAAACCAGTTTTCCTGGTGCTGCCTGTATAATATAACCTAATTAGGACATTAGATTTCCCTATAAACTATAAACTTCCAAGAATGTCTTTAGTATATAAAGTAAACCATGGCAGTGGAGTTTAATCACAGGTACGTTTAACACTTAGTTACCATGGAGACCTTAAAAGCTCCACAGTGTGCTACATTTACAAGACATTGCTGTGTATTCTTCAACTGGATGCAAAGGGTTTCATTCTGAAGTTGATTTGTCAAATTGTTTCCTTTGAGTGACCTCTAGCTATTAGCTAAAGTAAGAAACATGTCACCTGCTAAAAATGATGAAAGAGACAGAAAGCATCATGGAGACAAGCAAATGTAGCTTTCAAGAAGTCTAATAAAACCCAAGACAATTCTGGCACAACTAGAATTCAACACCAAGTTTCTTAAGTACAAGAATCATGCTTCATTTTGCCCCATTATGCTGCTTCACCTTCCCAAAAATCTAAATGGAATGGGATTGAAGAAAGACATCAAAACCTCCAAACCCAACAATGTCTGTTCCAACTGCTTTTTTCTACAATGTTATTATTACTTCTGCCCATTTGGGTTGTACCCCAGAGAGTCCCAGGAGTTGTATCCTCATCAACGAGCAAACTGGAATTATTCACTTGCTCCCCCACCCCACGACTACCTCAAGGAGCAGGACTTGTTCTGTGCCCCTCAAATGCCCCTCAATCATTTATGAATACACCTTTCTCCAACACTGAGAGGCCTAGCAAAGCAGGACAGCCACATTGTCCAGTGTGTTGTGTGTGCACAATCAGTAGTAGATGCTTAATAATTACATCAGGAGAACTAAAATGGCATGAAATCACCTCAGAAATCCTAGCATCTAGAAAGGGAACCTGGTAGGAATGGTTGACAGTTCTCTCCCAATTAACTGTCATTCCTTTAAAAACAACCACCACACAGGAGAACATGACCAATTTCACACAGTTCCCATATTCCTCCAGTCACTGGCACAGTGCTCTGCCCACCATGATGCCACTGGCATGCCTTTTCATGGGTAAGATGAATAAATGACTAAGAAAACACTCAGGCTTCTCTTTTAACCACAGTGCTCTCTATTCAAAATACCACTCCATTGTCTTTGAAATTTTCATAAACTATTTTCTACAAATATGTGGAAGTGGCTTTCTTCCTTCATGTAGATTACTGATGTTGGTACATGCATAACCTGTGTGTCTCAAGGCACTTAGGAAAGAGAGAAAAAAAAAAACAACATTAACTCTTTGACCATGAATTTCTTCAGTGAGGAGAAAGAGGTATTATTATGGTACTTACAACAGAATTGAGGTGTGTATGTTTCTCAGCAGCTAATGACTACAACCAGTTGCTTTCTGAAGCTCAATCTTTAGACTTGGCTTGCTAATCCAAACGTATACAATAGAATGATTTGAATGAAGTAAATATGAGGCATTTTTCTGAGGTCACTATTTAAATTAAGCTACTGCATAAGTGCCAAAGCAACCTAAGCTCCTTGACCACAGAAATGTAGCAGTTTCACAGACTCTGTCCTAGCTTTCCAGTTCTCCTCTTCAAGCTGGCTTGAAACTGGCATTTTTCTAAAGGTGTAAGCTCTACTAGAAGCTATACTAGAGTATAAAATTTTATTTTTAAAAATGCTTAAATATTGCCCCCCAAGAAGCTTTCATTCTACTTGGTGGTGGAGAATATATAAAACCTGTTCAAAGTCACAGACACCTTAAAGAATTGGTCTGCTTACTGAATGACCTACTCCCATGGCTGTTTCTGCTTCCAATTCTATGCATCTTACTCTCTGTGTATACTGTTGGAAAGTCTTTCTTGACATCTTGATTTTCTTTTTTAAAAAGTACATGGTTCAGTACATTTTAAAATACCAATCTTGTGTTACAGTTTCACACATTAAAGAAACAAACATAAATACTCAGCTGCTCCATATGTCTGCAGCTAAATTATAAAAAGAGCGTGCAAGGGCAGAGTGTCCTTCAAGGTACTGTGGTTGAGAGATATACATCACAAACATGGACGAACAAGCCCATGTCTTGAGATGAGAACAGTCCTGACTCACTGTCACCAGTAACCAACCCTCCAAGGGCTGGTCTTTTCCTCTAAAAATGTTTCAGCTGTTAACCTCTGAAATCCTTCCTTCTGAAGTAAAATCACAGGAGTCCATTTTCAAGAGAGCTTACCTGGTAATTTGTGTTCTTGTACTGAAGTCAAGAGACCTCATTGAGCGCAGAACTTCAATGCACCCCAAGTACTGCAAGGGGAAAAAATGTAAATCGTGAGCCCTGAGAGCTGAGATAAAGAGACAACTCCTAACTACACAAGGGCATTTTGGGGAGCCATATAGATTTCTTAAATCACATTTTAACTTTAAACTCTAGGGTGAGGCTTTGTTTTTGTTTCTATAAAAGCAATAACTCACAGCCACAAGAAAATATCGTGAGTGGTTAGATTGGCACTACACTGGATTTTTCTAAAATTAGTATTAGTATTTTCATCTTATTTGGATGTACACTTTTTAAAGCTTTTATGGAAGTATAACTTATATGCTGTGAAATCCAAGGATCTTAAATGTTTAATTCAATGATTGTTTAAACATACATTTGCCATGAAACTACCACCCAGACCTCAACATTGCATTTCTAGTCTTTTATGAGGCTTCTACAGGTTTACATTTTTTAGAGAAAGAATGAAAACATGATATGACCAACATTTTCATCAACATTAAATGTCATTATCTAATAAACATATTTTGGGTTCTATGAACTATAGATTACCCTCAAAGGTGATTTACTTTGGTTTATCAGAGGGCCCTCTTCTGCATGATCATAAATTTTTAGAAGCTCAGATTTATACATCTAAATGTATAGCTAAATTTTGATCAGTTTCACACATGAAAATGTACATGTGTAAGTATATGGACATAACTAAAGTTATGGATAAAGAACTAGATCCAATATTTATGTTCCAAAGCCCTTGGGGAGTTTGAAGATACAGATGTTTTAGATAAATGCCTTAGATTTAGCAGGAGGAGATTTCATGGTATGGTACAGAAAAAACTGCATTTGAATTATTTAGAAAATGTGAATTGGAGGCTGGCTTTGTCATATCTTCTTATAAAATTTTAAAAAATATCTGAGCCTGTCTGTACACCCATAAATGTGATTATTACTCCCACCATTGCACCAGTACCAATATCACTAGTCACTAAGATATGTGAAGACCACAACAAACTTTGCAGACTCAGGGGATTACCATACCTAACACCATTAGAGTTATATGACTACCACAACAAACATTATCATGGAATTACTTGAATACCTCAACCACCGTGGCTGCGTTAAGAGAATATCACTACCAAGGCAGATATTTGAATAGCACCACCACCATCACAGTTATGTGAATTCCATGACCAATGTCATAGAGAAATATGAATTAGGCTACCCTCAACATTGCAGAGTTATGTGATTACAACAACCAACATCACGAGTTCATGTGAATAATAGGACCAATGTCACAGAGTTATGTGAATACCACCAGCATCAAAGCCACAGAATTATCCAAATACCAGAGCCACCATTGCAGAGTTACATGAAAACCATGACCTATGTCACAAAGTTATATGAATACCACAACTGACAACAGAGTTATCTGAATACCATGAACATCAATATCATAGAATTATGGGAATACCACCACCACCATGCTGTTCCAGAATTATGAGAATTATGAAAATACCACAAAAAAAAAAAAAACCAACGTGGCAGTTACACGAATACCACCACTATCATTGTGGAATTATGTAAATATGCCAATGCCATAGAGTTATTTGAGAACTATGAACAATTCAGAGTTATGTTAACACTATCATCACCATTACAGAGTTGTGTAAATACCTGCCCCACCACGGATGTATACAGCCAGCCCTACATGTGTGCAGGTCCCACATTCACAGATTCAACAAACTGTGGATTGAAAATAGAAAGAAAAACAATAAAAGCAATGCAAATAAACAATATAGTAACAACTATTTACACAGCATTTATATTAGGTATCATAAATAATCTAGAGAGGATTCAAAGTATAAAGGAGGCTATGCACAGGCTACATGTAAATACTATAACATATTATATAAGGGATCTGAGCATCTATGGATTTTGGTATCCTACAGGGTCCTGAAACCACTCCATGGATGCTAGGGAATGAGAATATTTATATAAATAACATGACTAGAGTCACAGAATTATGCAAACACTCCATCCATTATCACAGAGTTAAGTGAAAACTATGACCAATGTTGCAGAGTTATATAAATACCACCACCATTGTTGCAGTTATGATTTGCAACCTCATCCAACATTACATGTTTATAAGAATACCACCAGCAGTAACACCGCAGTTACATGCATATAATCCCCACCACTATCATAAAATTAGGTGAATACCACTACCACTGATGTTGCAGCATGATGTGAATGCCACATTCAACATGACAGAGCCATGCGAATAGGCAACCAATTATGGGAATATCACCCACATTACCATCACAGGATTATGGGAATAGCACAACCAAGTTGCAGGGCTATTTGAATACCATGACTAACATCACAGTTATATGAATATCATGACCACCAGAGTAGAGTACCACCTGCATCAACTTCACAGAATATATGAATAACATGACTGACATCTCAGAGTTAGATGAGTATTGCCTCCTCTGTCATTGCAGAGTCATGTCAATGCCACCACTAATAACCTCACAGATTTATTAGAATGACACAGCCAATTTTGCAGAGTTATCCATATACGACCATGACCGATACCACAGAATACTGTGAATACCACCATGACCAACACCACAGAGCTACATGAATACCACCAATGAAAATGATGCAAAATTATGTGAATCCCATAACCTGCAATGGAGTTATATTGACACCATGTTCACTGTCAGAGATATTATAAATACCACAACCACCAATGCTGCAAAATTGCATGACTATCATGGCAAATGTCGTGGGTTCATGTGAATACCACTGCCACCAATAGAGAATTATGTATATACCATCATCAGCAATGTCACAGTGACATGTGAATATCACCAGCAGCACCAATGCATAATTATGTTAACACTATGATCATCTCAGAGTTGCATGCACATCATTGTGAACTGCACAATGCACGTCAACCCTACTACTACCAACATTGCAGAGTCACGCAAATACCAGGACCACTTTCAAAAGATTGTGTGAACACCATGAGTAATGTCATTGAGTTATATGACCACCAGCAACAACACTGTAGTGTCACATGAACAGCAATGACAATGTCACAGATTTACCTGAATACAACCGCCACTCTTGCACTTAGAGTAACACAACCACCACCATCATCACAGAACTATGTGAAGACAATGATCAGTATCACAGTTATGTGAACAGCACCATAAATATTGCAGAAATATGTAAATACTACCAACACCAACGTCACAGTGTTAGGCAAGTACCACAATTAATTTCACAATTATGTGACTATCAGCAGCAGAACCATAGCACAGTTATGTGTGTACCACCATCAATGTTGCAAAATTACATAATACTGTGGTGAAGGTTGCAATATGGGACTATTAGGACAAATTTCACAATTATGTGAATCCCACCATCAACTCCAATATTGCAGTCATGTAAATACCACAACCATGAGTGCAGAATTACATAAACATCACCAACAACAATGTCACCATGTTATGAGACTAACACTACCACAGTGTTGCACAATCATGTCAATGCCACAGCAAATGTTGCAGAGTTATGTGAACACCATGACAAACTTTGCAGTCTGTGACCACCATCATGGTGTTATGTGAATACAACCAACATCACAGAGTGACGTGGATACACCTCCACCACTATCACAGAGTTACGTGAATACAACCACCACCACCACCACAGAGTTTATGGATACTGTGGCTATTGCCACAGAGTTGTGTGGATACCACAACCAAAGCTGCAGAAATATGTGAATACCACCAACACCAACACCACAACATCAACAGACATAGAAACCACAACTGGCATCACAGTTATGTGAATACCATAAAAAATGATGCAAAACTGTCAATATCAACACTCAGAGTTATATGAATACCATGACCTCCCATGTCACAGTTATGTTAGCACCATAAACAATGATGCAAAACTATGTCAACACCAACACTCAGAGTTATGTGAATACTATGACTTCCATGTCACAGTTATGTGAATACCGTGAACAGTATCACTGAATTACGTAAATACCACCACCAACATCACAGAATTATGTGAATACCTCCATCAATGTCACAAAGTGAAATGAATACCATCAACAACATGGCAGAATTATGTGGATACCATGACAATACTGCAGTTATATAAGTGCCACCGACACCGTAACAGAGAGATGTTTGTACCACATCCACCAGCACAGAATCATGGGAATGCCACCGTCACCACTAATCACATCAATAACAATAAGCATTGCAGAGTTATGTAAATATGACCATAATCAGCATCACAGATTTTTGGGATAATGCCCTGCTCCTCTGTCATAAGGTAATGTTAGGATCACAACTGAGGTTACAGATTTATGTAAATATCACAATGTAGATATTGAAAAGTGATGTGGTTACCACCCACTAACACATAGTCAGAGAATTATGTAAAGACCACCACTTCTTTTACAGAGTTATGTATAGCCTGGGCCTAATTTCTTGGAGTTATATTACCACCAGCACCACCTTTGCAGTGAATGTGAATACCAGCACCAATGTCACAGACCTGAATTGCCCTCTCAAGGGTGTGCAGCAATTTGTCCTCTCAGCACCCGTGCATAAGCAAGCACAGTGGTCTCTGTCCTTCCCAAGACTGCAGTGTCAATCTTTTGAATCTTTGCCAAGGATAAGCAAAAGTAACTCATTCTGTTTTAGTTTGCATTTCCCTCAAATCTAATAAGGTGATTTTTCTCACATGCTTATTAGCCATTTGCATTTCTTTTTCTGTTATTTGATTGTTCATATCTTTCTGCCCAGTTTTCAATTCAGTTATTTATGTTTTTCTTTTAGATTAATTGATGTTAACTTCTTATTCAATCATTTTTCTTTTGGTGGCATCTACATTTTATCTGACAAAAATTACTGCTTTCAGTTGTTAGAGGTATTTTGGGAAAAAAGAAAATTATGACTGTAGGTAATTACTATAATCATAGATGTTGGTTGTT